CGTCTATGTGTATTGTCAGTATCGAGACTACATAGCGTCGATGTATACTGTCAGTATCGAGACTACAGGGCGTCGATGTATACTCTCAGTATCGAGACTACAGGGCGTCAATGTGTACTGTCAGTACGGAGACTACAGGGCGTCTATGCATACTGTCAGAATCGAGACTACAGGGCGTCTATGTATACTGTCAGTATCGAGACTACAGGGCGTCAATGTGTACTGTCAGTACGGAGACTACAGGGCGTCTATGTATACTCTCAGTATCGAGAGTACAGGGCGTCTATGCATACTGTCAGTATCGAGACTACAGGGCGTCTATGTGTATTGTCAGTATCGAGACTACATAGCGTCGATGTATACTGTCAGAATCGAGACTACAGGGCGTCTATGTATACTGTCAGTATGGAGACTACAGGGCGTCGATTTGTACTGTCAATATCGAGACTGCATATCTTCGATGTAGATGATAATATGCGGATGTGCTGTACATTGGACTGTAAGGATGGAACTAGTACTGGCGGCCCGTGTTGAACCTTTGGGTTGTAGAAGGGTAAAAGCTTTGCGATGAGATTTACGAAAGCTGAGAAATTTCTCTTAAGTACTGGAGTAGAAAGGGTCACACGGTAGCGTAGTTGGTTGAGGGGCTATGATACAAGCCGGAAGGACGCGGGTTCAAGTCCCGATGAGGTCATTGGATTTTTTTCAATTTGCCTAATACTTCTAGCCGCACTAAGGTCCTGGGGTTGACTCGGCCTCTAACAGAAATGAGTACCAGGAATTAATTAAATAATTTTCCTGGGGAGTAAAGAGCGACCGGCGCGTAAGGCTGAATACATTACCGCCATCTTTGAGCCGATTGTCTAGATAGTGTGGGACCCTCAACGTCTGACAACCCTATGGGCCTTCATGGCTTGTTACAGGGATAGCTTTACTTTTTTTATTTACTTTTTTACTGGAGTATAAAATGTATGCGAGTTCCGATAACGAATTTATAATCGTTTACACATACAAACCAGTTTCATTGTATAAAAGTATGATGTTAGGAATTCACAGCAGTGCGAAAATACTCTTAAATTCCTCAGAGTTGTCGCCTGGCTTGTAAGAACTTCATGGCAGGCCTTGCCACACGGGTCTTAACGTTAGCTCACTTTACTATGTAAGTTTCTTGCACTTGCTAAGGAAGGCTCCTGGCACTTGTCACGCTTCTCCCCTGAACAACAGGGTGGTCCTGTCGGGTGCCGACCCTCGTATGTTTCCGGATTTACTCGTGGCTCTCCACTTGTGCAAACATCTGATTTTTCCTTCCCCCTGCAGGCACTGAATGTTTCTTCGGAGGAGCACGTGTTCGCACCTTATTTAGGTTTCTTGGTTTCTTTTTTGTTTGTATGCGACTAAGCAAGAGCGTGAGGCCGCGCCATAGCTCAAGCGGTTAGTCGCTGGCTTCCCACCGCGGCGGCCTGGGTTCGATCCCGGGTCTGGTCAAGTGGGATTTGTGGTGGACAAATTGGCGCTGGGGCAGGTTTTTTCCGAGTACTTCGGTTTCCCCTGCCGATCTTCATTCCACCAATTGCTCCACAATCACCCTCACCTATCATCAGGGGCTGGTACAATAGGCCAGAAGTGGCCGCAGTACAAGGGACTTAGTCCCACCCCACTAGCAATAATAATAAAGAGCGTCTGTTCATGTCGCAGCGACCGGCCCGGTGATGTCAGTACGGATGAAAGTTCGTGAGAAACCGCATTTTAGCGGCAAACAAGAAATTTTGCACATTAAAGACGTAAGTGCTTTTCAATCCGGAGATTGAGCGGTAACCCAACGAGACCGCAATAAATAAAGACCGTTTACTACACACTGCTTGTGTTGTTACAAGGATGGGTAAGGTGCTTGGCCAACGATGTCACAAGAGTAGTAACAAACATGAGCACAAAAATTTCACCTCTTTCCATAAATATGGGCTTTCGAAAGGGGGTGTAAATTTTATTTGGTTTGGGCCCACCTGTTGAGACGCTTACGAGCCGCCACTGGTGGATATGCACAGTGTAATCAGTAATTGTCGTGGAGTATGAATCAGTTTATGAACAATCTGAAGGCTTTTCAACTGAAAGCAGGAACCTAGAAGATGTCCGTATAATAGAGCAGTTCAGTAAAATCGTGCTCGAGAGCTCTAATCAGAAATTAACCGGGTAACCTAAGTGGAGGCTTGATACGCACGTATTAAGACATTATTGTAACATCGGCGTATGGAGCAATTATTGCTCAATCTCCGTATCCATAGAAGCGCTCGACATCGTTTCT